CCGACGCGACGAGCCCCCTCCCGTGCAGGTGGTCCTGGGCTTTGTCTGCGAGGCCGACTACAAGCTGGTGGCCAAGGCGGTGCGGGACCGCGTGGTCGCCATCAAGCGCAAGCGGGAGAAGCTGAAGCGCGCCCAGGACGTGCTGTCGCCTGCAGAGCCGGAGCAGCCGCCCGGCGTCCTGCGGCTGCTGGAGGAGCTCAAGTCCCCACTGCCGCCGGGGGCCTCCGCGCCCGCCCCCGCCACCCCCGGCTCCGGGGACTCCGTCTTCAGTAGCACCTTCCCCCCAGAGCCCGAGGAGCCCGAGGCCGACCAGCACCAGCACTTTGCGTACCGGCACACCAGCTACTCCTCGGCCACCTGTGCGTAGGCACCGGGCGGGGGGACGGCGGGGCAAACCGGGGCAGGGGGCACAGCGGGGCAGCCTGGGGAGGGGGGTCCCTGCCGGGGGGTGTCTCTCCCCACCTCCAGCCACGCCGTGCACCCAGCCCCACAGCCAGTTCCCAGGGGCACAAGCCAGGGAGGGGACTCACTCCGGCCGTGCTCACCCAAGCGCTCCTCTGCAGCCGACTGTGAGACAGACGGCTACCTGAGCTCCTCCGGCTTCTTGGACTCCCCGGACCTGGCCCACCGCAGCTTCTCGGTGGGGGACCCCGCCAGCCCACCACCCGCCCGCCCCGTGCGCTGCTTCCCCACGGTGAGTGGGACCCCGTGGGGCTGGGGGTCAGGGTGGCTGCGGCACCGGCTCACGCCATCCTCTCCCCGCAGAGCATCGCGGTGCAGCTGCCCCCCGCCAGCGGCTTCTCCTCGCCGGTGGACAGGTAAGGCCGCAGGGCCGGGCAGGGGCCGGGGAGCGTGGCCGTGCTGATGCTCCCCTGGGATCTCCGCTGGGGAACGGCCGTGCTGATGCTCCGGCGCTGGGGCTTCCTGCAGCTACGCCTCAGACGTGGCATCCGGCATGAGCGACGGTTGCGAGGGGCTCTCGGCCGGCGAGCGGAGCGCCAAGCTGCCGCCCAAGCGTGCCGCGGGGAAGCTGCTGCGGCGCAGAGCCCGGTCCAGGCTGCGCATCACCAACGTGAGTGCCGGGGGGGGGGGGCTGGGTGGGTGGGTGGGTGGTCCCTGGGCTGAGCCCACCCTGCCGCCCACAGATCTCCGACAAGAACGACCGGGTGGTGGAGTGCCAGCTGCAGACCTACAACAACAAGATGGTGACCTTCAAGTTTGACCTGGACGGGGACAACCCGGAGGAAATCGCAGCCGTCATGGTGAGCACGGGCAGGGGTGAGGGCAGGGGCCTGCCTGGCCGTGCCGGGTGCTGACCGGCCCCCCCGCCCTCAGTTCCACAATGAGTTCATCCTCAAGTCGGAGCAGGACGGCTTCGTCCACCGCATCCGGGACATCATCCACCGCGTGGAGACCCTGCTCCGCAAGGATGGGCGCAGCGCCGCTGAGCTGCCCGAGAGCCCTGAGGCCGAGCACAGCGTGGGCAGCCCGGTGAGCGCCCGGCCCGGGAAGCGCTGGGGACGCCGCCGGTGCTGAGCACGGCTGGGGGTGCTGCCTGGCCCTGGGGAGCCCCGTGGGGAGGGGGCTGGGGTGCAGAGTGCTCCAGCCCTGCGTGGGAGCTGCCCCATGCCTGCAGCTGCAGGTCACCTCCCGCTCCTGCAACGGGTCGTGGAGCCCCCCTGCCCCCTGGGCTGCCAGCTCCTGTCCCCGCAGGCGGTGGGACTGGGGTGGGGGCCAGCGGGGGCTCAGCTGCATCCCCCTTGGCAGGCGGACCTGCAGCTGCAGGAGCTCTCACGCTCCATCTCCTCCTCATCCTCACTCAGCGGTACGTCTCTGTCCCAGTGTGGGCCCTTCCCGTCCCCACCCCAGCCCTGGGCAGGGTGGGTGACGGTCCTGCCCGAGGCCGGGGGTCCTGTGGAGTACATCCTGCCCCAGCTAAGCGCCGGCTGTCACCCCTCTGCCACAGACCTGGGCTGCACCAGTCCCAGCCTCTCGGTCCAGTCCCCCGTCCTGCCGTCGCTGAGCAGCTCCCCGTCAGAGAACGACCTCACCAGCCCTGCAGAGCCGCCGGCAGCCCCGGCCCGTGAGCTGCGGCCAGTGCTGCCGGGCTCCCCCGCAGGTACCAGCGCTGCGAGGCCAGGCACCTCCGTCCCAGCGGGGCTGCTGGCCCCAGCCTGTGCGGCTCACTGCTGTGAGGCCCTGAGCTGCCCGGGGCGTGCTAGGGACCGCTCCTGATGCTCCCCTCTCCACAGGCTCTGTCCAGACCTGGCCCCTCGTCTCGATGGCTCCCTCCTGGCTGACGACATCGCCAGCGTTCCCACAGACCCCCCCAAGCACCCCGGGGGGGCCTGTCCCACCAGCCCTGCCCCAAGCCCTCCTGTCCCCACTACCGCTCCCCACATCCCCCGTCCCCAGTGAGCCCAGCAGCCCCCTGAGCCCCCCTGTGACCAGCACACCCTGGTCCCCCACTTCCCCACTCCTGTCCCTGGCCAATGTCTTCTCCCTGGCGGTGATGAGCGTGGCCCACACGCTGCTGCCCGCCGTCTCCTCCATTGCCAGCTCGGGTGGGCACCTCTACCCCCCGCTGCTGCCACGGCCGCAGACCCTCGTCCTGGGGCCCCCGCGCTTCGTCTACCCCGACCCCACCAGCATGGCCAAGCCAGCCCCGGCCGGCGGTGGGACGCTGCAGTCAGGGGGGGCTGCCGACCCCGCTGCTGGGGGGCCCACACCATTCCCTCCCTTGGCACCACCGTCCCCGCCATGCCCTGCAGGCAGCGGGGCCGTGGGGAGCCCCCCGCCATCACTGAGCACGTCCACACCGGGGAGCCCAGAGAGCAGCACGGTGAGTGTCGAGGTGGCGGGGGCTGCCTGTGGCGGGGCTCAGCACCAGTGGAGCTGGGTTGTTGCTGTGGATGATGCCCTGGGATGGGACAGAGTCCCTGGGACACAGGGAGGGGCTGAGCGGGCAGTGGGTCCCGTGGCATGGGAGCAGCAGTGGGGGGGGGGGTCAGGAGATGTGGGGGGACCCGGGGTGGGGTGGCTGATGGCACTCAGGTGTCCGCAGGTGCCACCCGGCTCCCCCAAGCCCAGCCACCCCCTCATCATCTCAGAGTCGCCAGCCCCTGGCGCGCCCAAGGCCCGGCTCTCGCCCATCAACGAAGGTGAGGTGGGGAAGGGCCATGGCTGTGCCACGCAGCCATGGCTGTGCCGGGACCCCGTGCCATCCCTGCCAGCCCACATGCCCTGAACCCCACCAACTGCCCCCTGTCCTCCGCAGAAGCCAAGCCCCAGATCCTGGGCCGGTTCCAAGTGACACCGACCAAGGACCCGGCTGCGTCCTCCCCAGTGCCAGGCAGCAGCGAGGGTGAGCAGCGCGACACGGAGCCGCCAGCGAGCGGCTCCCCCCTGCCCACGGCCCCCGACACAGGCGGCAGCTCAAGCAGCGACTCGGACTCGGCGCTGGAGACGGCGGAGCAGGACCCTGAGGCTGGAGAGGCGCTGGCCAAGGAGAGCACGGCGGCACCAGTGGAGAGCGACCGGGAGGGCCCCGGGGAGGAGAGTGCGGAGAGCGCGCCGCAAGCCGTGCTGAGCCAGGTCTGGCTGAGCTACTCCCGCAGCCTGTCCTACCTGAGCAGTGACGATACCGAGAGCGAGGACGAGGAGATCTGGGAGGAGCTGCAGAACCTGCGCCAGAAGTGAGCAGCCCTGCAGCATGGGGGGGAGCGGGGCAGTTGGGCTGCACCCGGGGGGGCTGCACAGGGGCCGGGGCAGGTCTCGGTGCCCTGTCCCCAGAGGGCCCGGCCGGGTGCGGTGCATGGCTCAGCCCCTCCCGGTTCCCCCCAGGCACCTGGCCGAGGTGCAGCTGCTGCAGAGCGCCCAGAAGAAGGAGATTGAGGAGCTGTACCTGCGGATGGGGAAGCAGCCGCCGCTGGGCATCGTCTCCCCAGCCGCCGTGCTCTCCAGCCGCCAGCGCCGCCTCTCCAAGGGCAGTTTCAACCCCTCCCGCCGCAACAGCCTCCAGCGCCTGGAGCTGGCGCAGCCCCCAGGTACCAGCCCCCGCGGGCTGGGGGGGCTGTGGGACACCGACCCTGGGCCCACGGGTTGTCGGGGCCCCACCGGCGCCCCCGCTCAGGGCCGCTCTGTCCCGGCAGGCATCATGCGCCGCAACTCGCTGAGCGGCAGCAGCACCGGCTCGCAGGAGCAGCGGCTGAGCAAGGGTGTGACCTTCGCCGAGGACCTGGCCCGGATGGTAAGGGGTGGGGGGCTGGTCCCGCTGCTGGGGGCCCTGTGGAACTCCCAGCCGGCCCCAGCTCACCACTACTTCTCTCCCCAGTAGCCAGCTGGCCAGGAGTGACTTCAGGAACTACCTCAACCAAGTGCCTGCTGCCCTGGGGGTGGGCGAGAGCCCCTGCACCTCCCGGGAGGACAGCGCTGGCCCTGGGGGCAGCCCGGCCCCCCCACCCACCCACCCCCAGCAGGGTACCTCTGTATCAGAGGAAGGCAGGCCTGGCCCACGCTTCTCCTCCCACCTCCTTGTGCCCCACAACCCCTCCCCGCCGTTCCCAGCCCCTTTGCTCAAGCCCAGCCCCAGTGGCAGGATGCAGGCGAGGTGCCACCATCCTTCACAGCTTTACCCCGAGCTGGACCCGTGCTGGCAGAACCAGTCCCCACCGGTGCCTTGCCCCGAGCAGAACACCCCCCCCCCCCCGCCCCCCCAAACCGCGTCCCCCTCACCCCACCCCCAGCCCCACGCCCCGGGGCTGCCCCATCTCGTCCTGCACAGCCGAGCCGGCTGCGGGGTGGGACGAAGCTCCCGCCGGGTGACGGAGCTGCAGCACGGGGAGTGGCCGCAGCGTGTTTCCCTACGAACCGACGTCCGGAAAGTGTTTTCATAAATACGAATTAAATACAAGTGGGGTCTGTCTGTGTCTTGTTTGGCGGGACTCGTGGACGCTGCCCTTGGCAAGAGCACAAACTGCGCCAGACGATAAAAGGCAGAATGCGAATTGCCCCATCCCGGCCGACACCTGGGCAGGACCCCGAGCTGGGCGCCGGCCGCCCGCTGCTCGAACACCGGGCGCTGCCGCAGCCTCCGGACGGGGCGTTTATTGTGGGGAGCGAGGGCGCTGCTGTAAGGAGGGAGCTCTGCGCCCGGGGAGCCCACCCAGCCCGTGCCCCGGCGATCCCCCGGTGCCGGCGGCCCGTCCAGCCCCGCGGGGGCCGCGGCTGACTCACGGGGCTCGCCGGGGCCGGGCGGGGCCCTCCGCGCTCAGCTCGCCGCGCCAGCGGCCCGCTCCCGCGCCCGTTCCCGCGCCGCCTCCGCCTCTTGCTCCAGCTCGTCCAGGAACCGCTCCTGCGACACCGAGTAGAAGGTGTAGCCGTCTGTGCCGGCGGGTTAAGGAAAGCAGCGGCGCGGCCCGCCCGGCGCGGCCCCCCCGGCCCGGCCCCCGCAGGATACAGATCCCGACCACCGCCGCGCCGATGCCGAGCGCCAGCAGCGCGTTGCGGCCGCGGAGCCGCCGTTGCAGCGCGCGGTGGCGCTGGGCGCGCTCCACCCGCGCCATGAGCAGCCGCTGCTCGGGGCTCAGCCCCGGCTCCCGCCCCGGGTCGATGCGCCGCGCGAAGGGCGCCTCGCCGCCCGGGCCCCGCGCCGCCGCCATCTTCCCTGTTCCGCACGGCGCGGAGCTACGTCGCGGCCGGCGGGGAGGCGGGCCAATCAGCTCGCCGCGCGCAGGCGCAGTGGGAGCGGGGCGGTGGCGGGAGCGCGCTCTGATTGGTGGGGCGGGGTCCCGTGACCGGGAAGGCCTCGGGGGCGGAGCCTCGCGGAGTGGCGGCGGGAACCGGGTTCGCGGCTGCGGCCCCGCGGAACCGGCCCCGTCGCCGGTGGGGGGGGCGGTTGCGGGAGCCCAGTGCCGCCTCCGCGGCTCGCGGGGGGTTCCGCGGGACCGGCGGCAGCGCAGCGCCGTGCTGCCGGTGCGGCGGTTACCGCCCGCGCGGCTGAATGGGGCCCCAGGCGCGGGCAGCGTCCCGGGGCCGGGACTCGGGGCCCGTGTTCGGCGGGGTCGCTCCCGAGATCATCGAGGACGCGCTGATCCGCCTGGCCACGGAGAACGAGCGGCACCTGAGCGAGCTGCCGGGCCGGGCCGGGTTCTTCAAGGAGACGCGGATCGTGGGTGAGGCCGCCGCCGCCTCCCAGGGAGGTTAACAGCTCCGTGAGGAGCGTCACTTGGCTGAAGTGAACGACTATCGCAATTATTTGTTGGGGGGGGTTTTGTTTGTTTGTTGTTTTTCCAGAATTTATATTCCTTTTGTCTGAAAAATGGCACTTGGACCACTCCGCAAGGTACCAAGCAGTGGAGTTACTTGAAAGGTAACGGGTGCTCTGAGCGCTTAGTGCATCTCTCGTTTCTCTCACGCGGTTACGCTGTGCGCGCTCTGTACAGCTCATCCAAACAACGAATAATGGCTTTTTGTGTGTCTAGAGCTTTGTCACTTTACTAATTTAATTCAAATTAACAGCTATCCGTATATTGTGAGTGCATGGAGAATTGCTTTTCTTCCTTTTTCTTAGCAGAAGAGATCTGTTTTCTGAGCAGTTGTGGGTTTTGTAGGTTTATGATCAAGCAAGTAGAACAAATCTGTAAGTCCTCCAGAGGGAACCATGAACAAGGACAAGGGAGCAGCTGGAGCTCTCTGAGCAATCAGATATATGACACGTTTGTCCTGCGACTTGTGTCGTGCGTTCAGCTTGCAAGCAAAGTTTCCTTACACTATAATGTAAGCCAGCTAAACCTTTTCTTATAACATTATTTAGCAGTGTAGTAAATTACACAGCATATTAATCTCCATTAAAAAATAGATATCCTCTTTGAAAAATAGTAGTGATAATGAAATGCAAAGGATATTGTAACGGAGACCTAAATCTCTTCCACTTGGGGCAGGTTAATCGTCACTTGTCAAGTAACAACCTGTCAGGAAATGTTCCCTGTATACTGGGGGAAAAAAGTACAGGCAGTGGGAAAACTCGGCCTGTGGTTGTTGAAAATTGTATGGCTGCAGAGGGTCCACACCTGTCTGGGGAAGGTTTGTGGAGTAGAGGAAACCTGCGGCAGAGGTCTGAGCTGGATTTGAGATGCCAGCTCAAAATACGAGTTAGACAGCTGGGTTAGCGGGCAGCATCGCTGCAGTGGCTCCTCCTTAAATTCAGTGGGAGGAGTAAAGCAAGAAAGTGCTTTGTTCTTAGCATGTGCCTTATTGCCTAGAAGATAATCTTTTTTCCTCTTCAGATAGTTAACAGTGACATGGCTTTAAAATTTCTGCAATCCTTAAAGTACTGCTACACTAAGCAGGAATTGCTTGAGTCGGAGCTTGCAGTTCTAAAAACTCTGCACTTCCAGATCAACGTGTCAACTCCTTTGGCTTACGTGGAATTGCTTCTAGAGGTTTTAGGTAAGAGTATTAATAAGAGAGAATGGTAAAGAATTTTTTTTAAAGCATAATAGAGCTATTACTGATCTGAAACAAAATGTCTCATGTTACAGAGCTTTGCATACCGTGAAGGCACATGAAACTTTTCAGATTGGCCAGGGCTTTATTTTTTGTATGTAGTTCTTAATAAAACCTGATAATTGTTCTTGGGCAGTCATCATGACTCATTCAGTAAAAGATGAAGTGTTTAAAACCCCCAAAATCTAATGTAAGGCCACATTTTCTACAATGACTTACCCTTTTTTTTTTGCCCAGGCATGACAACCTGGATTTCAGAATGAGTGAAATTATACTGAGATTGAAAGAGCCTATGGCATGAGAAGGCCTGTGGCATTAAGAAACAAAGGGCAGTTGTCACCAGAAATCTTCATCCCTCGCTTACAGCAACTAACACTTCTTTCTAATTCAGTTTAATGACTCAAAGTGTATGGCTGATTGTGTATGATCTCTGTGCTAGGACACAACGGCTGCTTGCTTCCTGCAAAACCATTACATCAGATGTGTATGCAACTATTAGACTTCTCCTATCTTACAAGAGATACCATCTACAACACTTTGTTGAAGATTGCCATCGAAAATTCAACACCAAGCAAACTGCAGGTGTAAGTACTGATGTGACTGTTAATTGAAATTAAAACTCTCAAAAAAAAAAAGCTAAAAAATAGTAGCATAATTCCCACTATGCCATTTTTGGGGCATGTTTTAAGATTTTAATTTTAGGGGCTTTCAGCATTGCTTATTGATCTTAATAGACCAGTTCAAAGCACTATGCTTCACCACATTTGCCTTAGGGGCAAGCTAGGCAAGTGTTTTAACTTCATTGTAAAAATCCTGTCAATTAAAGTTAACAGTATCAGGCTTTATTTGGAGTGAATAAGCGAACATGTCCATAGGCTGTATAGCAATTACAGAAGTAGGTCCTTTTGAACTGTAAAGCTAGCATCGTTCTACACTAGAAGACACTTCTACTTCTGCAGAGCAAAGTTTTTGACAGTAAAGGAAGATTTCATGCTCCTGGCTGTTGGAATCATCAGTACAAGTGTGTTCGTACTAAACCCTGAGCACTGGAAGCAGGTACAGTCGATTCTAAATGCATTAGCTCTACGTGAAAAAAAAATGAATTGTTTCTATGTCTAAGCACAGCGAGGAGACAGGTAGAGTCTACTGGGAGTAGCGTGGGGGAGGTGATGTCTTTCAGGTTTTTTAAGCAGGAAGCATGTGTGTTTTTGTAAGAGCGTTACGACGATACACAGGCAGTTCTGCAGGAAGGCTTGTGCTTGCACTAGTGTGAGCATATCCTCACGCTTCAGCTTCTTCACAGCCATCGTTTGGTTGATAGGTGGAGAAGCAATCCCATGGGACAACTTTCTGCCCAAACTGCTACTGAATACTATAACAAACAGCCTATTGCAGATAGTAGCTTTTTCATTTTTCTTCTTTAGTAGAAGCAATTAAATTAAAAAAGAAAAAAACCAAAACACAACAGAAAACCCAAAGCAAGCAAGAAAGCAAACAAAAACCCAACCAAATAAAAAAACATACTGAGCAGTGCACCCATGGAGCACTATTATTGTCGTTAGATTTGGAGGATTAAAAAGTGTATCTGTACAGTGCCTAAGAGACATTCGTTTCAGCAAGTACCTTTTTTTTTTTTTTTAAGGTTGTGGAGCATTTAAACTCTATCACTGGTATTACTTCACAAAGTATCTTAGAACTTTCTTACGCAGTACTGAAACACATCATTGGCAGTACCACTCCAAAGCAGCACTATAGGAACTGTGGAACAAAAGCTCCAGAGAACAGAATTCTACCTCTTAAATAGAACCATCTTCTACAGCCAGTCACTAGTGTATCAGTAGCAAACTGTTACGCTGCTGGTGATAGTTCATCTGTGATGCACAGGGCACCCAGCACAGTTTGGTTTTACTTTTGAACAGCAGGTGTTCTGTAACATTTCACATGTTACGTGCTAATTAGAAAAGCTCATCCTTTCAGGCAATGCTCTAGTGTGGAGAAGGGAGGCACACAGGAGCAAAGTAGCATTCAGAAATACAATAAAGCTTTTGGTGCTGAAAGAGGTAAGAGCTACATCTTCTAAGTTAGGAATCTAAGTTTCCTTTGAGTAAAGAGAAAACTCTAAAAGTCATGTTTTGAAAAGGCATTAATGTGCAGGGTATTCTGCCTGGTACTTTGTATTGCTATAAGCAGTCCAGTCACTACAACCAGGGCTGTGCTTTCTCCACTACCTGCTTTTTAAAAAATTACCGTCTCAGGCAGCCTGCTTGTTCCTGTTTTCCTCTCTGCCAGTGCTCAGAGCCTGTTTGCTCTTACCCAAATAAAGCCAGACAGTTGGGCGCTGTTGTGAAAAGCACAGAACCCCACCGGTTTTGAAAGCGATGGGGTTGTTGCAAGAGCAGGTGCCTGTTCAGCCCGGCCACGTACGGGCCAGGGGCTGCTCATGCTGGGTCTGGCCCACGCCAGACGAAAGCACGCTGCCCATACAACAGTGTTTTGTTACTTAATCAGTGCAGCTCTGCAAAAACAGGCTGCAGGAACTATTACAAACAATATCATCATAGCTAACACTATTTTAAACAGTATCAAACCTTGTTAAGTTCTGTGGCACAAAGAAGTGCTGATATGTCTTAGAAAATATTTTATTTCAAGCTGTAGTTAACTCTTTAATGAACAAACAGGGCTTCTGTGAGTTCTTCCACGTTCTGCCCTGTGTTTGTAACATTTAGCTTTTCTAACCGGTGTTAAGCTGTAACAGAGTAGTATCAAATTCACTGGTGTTGTGAAGTTCAACAATAATTTATACACATTTCTACAAACCGCAAAGTACCAGTTTAGCATCTCTTTAATAGCTGATTTTTTTTCATTCTGTTCAGCTCAATGATATAACTTTACATATTGCTTTACTACATACTACTTGTAATAATGGTATTTTAAATAAAGTGTCTTGTGGATTTTTGGTATTGTAAACATTTTGTACTGGCTAATATTAACAGACATCTTAATTTGACTTTCTCCAACAAAATGCAAACACTCTACAGCTGCCAGGATGAGTTCTTTACATGGTTACTTGTTATAGAATTGGGATGAGACCCAGGCCAGACCCCACTTCAGGTTAGTTAACATGAATTTTAGTGCTTTTGTCCATTGCTCCTCAGAGTTAAACTGTGTTTTAATAGAGTAAGAGCCACCACTGCCACCTGTATCTTCAATCTTTCCTTTCTCCACGTCCATCCTGCATCACACACAAAGTTTTATTAGTGCATTACTATTGCAAGCATTTAATCTCAGTACGCCATCAAGCACTAAAATTTGAATCTGATATTCCTATTATTCTATGTAAGAATACTTTTTTTAAAGGAAATCTAGCAAGCCTCAGGTCTTCACCTGAGGAACTAGCTTTAAATTTCAATTGAGAGCAAATGTAGTAATCATGCACACTTAAAAAGAACAGTGGATGATTCCAGAAAGACAGGACTGAAACAGCAAGCAGTGCTGTAGGCTGCTCCATAGGTCAGTTAGTGCTGTGCAGGACAGCATTTGAGGTGGTAATCTGACATGTTATAGCAACACTCACCTGTAAGGCAAACAAAACCGAGTTTCACCTTTTTCCACTTCCTCTTTAAACTGCTGCACGCAGTCGAGGAAAGCCACCATTGCATGATCAAACTTATTGTCCCAGAAGAACCTCAGGCCTCCAGAACAGTACAAGGGGAGCTCCTGGAAAAGAGATTTGTTTCAGGCACCCCAAGCACTCCATTTTAGATATGGTCATCACAGCTCTTTAGTCTTGTGTGAGGCTTAAATTTGTCACAGGATGCTTAGAAATGGTTGGTGGCACGTAATAAGTATGACTTGTTTTGTGGTAAGTGCCTACCGCACACAGGCTTGGGTTCCTAGTGTGGTGCATAGTTCAGGAGTCCTGTTGTTTCTAATGCTACTGGATGGCAGAATGAGTGGCTTGATACAGGATATGGAGGGAGATATTATTATGTTGGAGGAGTTGGGGCAGCTAGGCCTCCTGTACCATAAATTCATAAAGAACTGGTCTTCTGCATCCCCCAGCGTGACCAAGGCTCTGTGAGATTCAAGGTCAATGTCCTCTGATTTGTGTAGGATCTCTTACCTTTGATTTGTCTGTGAGGGACTCTAAATATGAGTGGTTGCCATATGGTACAAGACGGTATCTGAAAGGAGATATGATTCACAGGCAGATGTATCTAACTGTCTGTATCTGGGTCACGAGTGAAATGTGTGTTGTATTGCGTTTACCTTTGAAACTTCAGGCCCATTTTGTTAGCAAGGGCGTGTAGCAACAGCACAGTCTGCCCCCAGGCAGCATTGATCTCATTCCATTCTACAGGAACGCTGGGGAGACGGCCAAGCCTGAAGTTATTTATTGTGCCAAACTGACCACTGTGCCTGTGATAAGAGGAATTATAAATAAGCGCACTGAGGCAGGAACAGTTTCTAGCGTACTAACCAAACAAGGGCCACGTACCAGCAGCTGCAGAACACACAGTGCTAAACAAGTAAAAGGAGGGTTTGGGGCTCTGCTTAAAAAGTATACGTAAATATCAACCACTTGTTCTCTTTTTATGACAGAGCTCACAAGAACCAACCAAACACCCAAACCCCCGAGCTACCTGCTCTGCAAAGCCTGACATTAGAGCATTATGTTGGCTAGCACAGCAGGTCCCGGTTCATTAGTGGGGTTAGTGAAAGAGTCACTTCAGAGTCTACTCTGACACCTGCACATGGTCACGCACCTGTCGGTGACACTTGGGAGCTGTGACCAGTTGCTTTGTTGTGGGGTAACTATGACTTGACTAGCACCTTTCCTGTCAAATGCAGTATTACTTGAACTGCCCCACGTTGCAGATTCTTAGCAAACTGACGCAATATTCCAGTGTCTACGTTACCAGATATGAAAGGTTGCATTGAAAACGTTGGTTTTCTTTAGTTTATCCAATTGCATCTGAGCATAGCGCATTTGGTTGTCCACACTTTTCAGCTCATCATCTAGCTCCAGTTGTTGCCTCTTGAATTCACAGTATTCCTTCTGATACCTTTTAATAAAAGCAAGACAAGAAGTGCTAAGCACAGGCTTTTACAGAAAAGTGATTGCTCACACAGTACACTAGGTTTTTTTGGTCTAGCCAACTTCAATTTTGCAGAGAACAAGCTACTTGCATTTGGGCATTATTTACCAGTTTCTCCACCCTATAATCTCATTTATTTGTTACCTAAAATCCCTGCGATAAAATGCAGTTGTAGTTCACTCACTGAGCTTCTTCCTGCTCCAGCTGCTCTGCCTCTGCCCTGACTCTCTCGAAGTCTTCAGCCACGATCTTGCGGTTCTTCTCAACGTCCTCCAGCTCCTGAATCAGTTGCTCTTCCTCCAGTGCGAGTTCTTTCAGTTCTGCTTGCAGTTTCTCCTTATCATCCTCATTCATTTGTTCCAGTATCTCCAAACATCTCCTACATGAGAGCAACAGGATTACCAAAACAGGGATCCTTGGAAGCCCCCCCACTAACAGCCCCCAGTTCCTTGACAGCCTGGGCACGGGAGCAGAAGTGCAAACAGGGACTCTGATCTCCTGTGCACCGCTCGTTAATCCTCAGCTCTCCATGCTGATCCTGCACACAGGAGAACAGGGGAGTGAGATGGTGACCGAGGATCTGTTGCTGCCTGTCAGTAACCATTTCTGTGAGGCCCCTGACTGCACAGGAATGCTGCCACTGTGGCCAGTCGTTCTGATGGGCTTACAGACTTCAGCTGCACCTGTATACCACAGAACTCTTAAAAACTTTTTTTTCATCTCCTTCAGAGAAGGGAAACCCCAAGCGCTGAAGTCAGGGGTGTCTCTTCCTGATCATGGAAAGCCAGATCAAGGATGTTTTCTTTCCCGAGGCTTCAACCTAAAGCAGCTCAGCCTCAGGTCACCTCTGGATCACTCACTTGTAGTTCTGGCATTCGTTCTCCGTGATGTTAAGCTGTGTGTCTAGTTGGTCTAGCAGAGTGTCTGTGCATTCCTCACACAGAGGGTGATCCACATCTGTCTGCCCAGACATAATGTCGAAGAGGTCGCCGGTGACCTGCAGGAAGAGCTCACCGTTAGTTTGGGGGAAGCCGCAGGCAGCTGCCGGCCGGTTCTCAACAGACAGGCTTGTGCTGCTTCCACTGGCAGAGTATTTTCTGCAGGTCAAATCTTGATTGAAAATGCACCAGCTTTACTGAACTACTCACCAACAAAGATCCTGGAAGGCTGGTGCTATGGGAAACTCTGCAGTTTAGCCTTACAGAGCATCCAGAAAAACCGATGCTCTGCTCAAAAGTATCCGAGTTTACCACCACTGACTTGCCTTCAGTCTCCGGCTGAGGTTTTCCATCGTGCCGCCATCTGACGCCTCTCCAATCAGCGTGAAACTGTTGGCGCTCTCTGTAGACATCATTCTTGGAAAGAATTTTATGGAAAGTTGAGCGCTGAGGGTCCAGAGGAGCCAGGCCTAGTGCTAGACTTAAATCTAAGACTTGTTCAAGAGTCAGAAAGGAAGAACATACAAGACGTACTTGCAGAAGGGTGGGGGAGCCTGCGTTTCATCAGAGCTCTCTCAGGACAGCGTTTTGTGCTAACCCGTAGCTAATAAGCAGCATCCTAAATACTGCGCGCTTAGGTATTTTTGGATGGCTGCTGAGGAGCCCAAGGGCCCCAGGGATCCCTGGGGGGAGGCTCTAAGGGGGTCTGGCACCCCGCTGAGGGGTGCCCCGTGGGGGAAGCTGCTGTGGGACCCACCCGCGGCCGGGCCGGGCCCGGGGGGAGCACGGTGGCGGCCGTACCTGGCTGGCGGGATGAACCTCCTGGACACGCCATCCTGCCGGTTCTCCGCGAAGGTTTCCTGCGGGGCAGGGGCACGCCGTTACCGGGGGGGGGGGTGGGGGGGGGCGGGAAGGGACACACGGACAGACACATGCCGTCACCGGGACGTACACACACGCCGTTACCGGAGGGGGGGGGCACCGTCACCAGCGCCCGCCCCGCCCCGCCGTACCTCCGCCACGGCGCTCTCCTCTTCGTGCGCGTCCCCGGGCCGGGCAGGGGCGGCGGTCAGCAGCGGGGCTGCGGGAGAGGAGGCGTCACCCGGGCCCGGGCCCAGGCCTGCGCGCCCGCCCCCGCCCGCCGCCCGCCCCGCCGGTACCGGTGAGCTCCTGGATGGTGAGGCGGTCGAGGATCTTGAAGGAGGTGTCGAGCTTCAGCGGCTGGCTGCAGCGCTGGCAGACGAAGCTGACCTGCGTGGTGCAGGCGGGCGGGCGGCCGCCCTCCATGGCGCCGCTCAGCCCCGCGCCCGCCCCGCCATGGCCGCGCGCCGGACGTGACGCAGCGGCCGGGCGCGCGCCCTGGTGGGGCTGCGGGGACGGCGGCCGCCATCTTCCCCCGCCCCGGGGACACGGCGGCGCGTGCGCGCGGAGGGGGCGGTGGGCGGGCGGGTCACGCGGGCGGCGGGCGCGCGCGGTA